CGTTTCCAAATTTTGCCTTCTTTTTTGTCAAAGACGTTGGTCGGTTGGGAAAAAAAAAGACCGACTAAGCATGCAAACAAGCTCTTCAGATTGTCAAACTAGAACGTTTTAAGGAATTCCAGTGACTGTTTAAACACTCGCGTATTAAAGAAAACGATACCAGGATGTGACTTCACTAACTTTTCACCAAAGAAAAAAGTCATGTATGATCACGTCTGTTCTCATAGAAGAAAGGGATACGGCATCATACTCTTCAACTGACTAAAGAAAATTACCTTTTTTTCTATTTTTTTTTAAATCAGTTGGTTGGATGTTGGGAATGGAAACACCTCTCAGACATGACCTTGCATGACTTTGTAGAAACTTAGAAAGAAGAACGATAAGTTTGATATGTAACCAACCTTTCCATATTTGAGACTGCGGGTATGTAATGAGAGTGACCCATCACTATACACTGACTGCACTTCTGCCTAAACGTAGTCAAGGAAAACTTACAAAAAGTTGACTTGTCAACCACTTCAATAAAGTCTTCTCAGTATTTAATAACTGCGTCTGTTCGCTTGATGGAGTTTGAGAACCGGGGACGGCAACATGTGTGACCCAACCATGACCCCCATGCAAGGCATCCAGGTACTGAGCACACTGACAAGCAGTAAAAATAGAGAAGGAAGGGAGGATGACAACCGAATTAAACTGACAACTGAGCAACACAAAATGACATCAAAGTCTAGCATGCTGGGTTTTCATGTCGACAGGTTCCTGTTCTCTTCACTATGATCCTTGAAATTCCCATATAAAGCAAATAATTATTGTGTGTGCACAGGAATCCCAGTGGTTCCACCCAGTAGGGTTCCACGGTAACTAAGGATTACAAGCATTTGGTTTAAATAGCTGAGATTATAGTGTCAATGCAACATTCTAAAAAGATTCAACTGGTGGTAAGAGGGTCGGACCGTGTGCAGTGCCTATACTCAGAGCAGGATATTTGTTAGTTCAGGAAAGATAGTTGGCAGACTTCAAAAGGATACACTTATCAGATCACCCTCTGCAAGAAAGTGGCGCATCATTAACTCATCCTCAGCAGATCGTCTTCTCTGAGAAAACAGCAGAGTAAAAAGCAACAAATAAATGAAGGTCAACACGCAAAATTTGTGCAGTCGTCTGATCTCCCTATAACTGTATAAAGATGAGCTTGTTAGCTTTCAGTTACTATAACCTAGGGGGAGGGGAGGAGGGCAAAATCTGTGGACATGTCTGCAAAATATTTCAACCCTCCCCTCACCCCTGCATGCTATCAAATCTAAATAGGACATTCAGCATCCTCACCCCCTCCACCCCACCTCTCCAGGCCACAATAAATGAAAGTTTCCTGATATAAAAATATCAGCAGAACTGATAAAGGCATACAGTTACGTGTAATTTGAAATCCCGACAAGATGAGTGACCCATCAGCCGGGTCACCCTTTTTTGATGGTACTGTCACTCTCCTAGCCTGGCAACTTTCTGCATATAACCTGTGGCTTGCCAAGCTGGGTTGACTCAGTCAAGGCAAGACAATAAGAGCACGCGTGAGCACTGTTTAAGAAAATCAAAGCATGCATGAGTGCTATTGGCTCAGGCAAAGGAGTTAACTTTTTTCTCATATAAACTCTCAGTTAAGTTGACTCGGCTGGGGGGGGGGGGGGGGGAGGGGGGGGGGTTCC